CTTGTTCCTAGTAGCTTCTTGTTGCTAGTAGTAAGGCCAGGAGCCCCATTCGTTTCGTCCTTGCTCCGTTCGTAGCGATGCCCTTTGTTCGGAACGTAGCTTCCTGGCTCCCAGGAGGAAGGACCTCCACCTGGTAGCGTCCAGTGCGCTCCCCTGCAGAAGCTGTCAATGTGGTCTCGTTCGTCATTGGTTCGCTATGTGCTCTCGTTTGCCTTCTCTGATGTGTACGCAAACGACAGATGTGTGCTCTGATATTTGTGTCCTCTCATGCGCGTGCACTCTCACGTATGGTCTGATATGCGTGCTGTCATAGGGTGTGCTCAGGTTTGAGGTCGATCTCGTTTGTCTAGATTCTAGATAAACCAAACGACAGGGTTGCAGGAAAGTGCCACAAGAGCAAGAAGAAAAGCAGGAACCTCGAAAGAGACCATGTAGCCAACAATAAATGTAACAGATGCGATGGTGAATGGTGTGGTGTTTGGCAGAGTAGTGTGTGATGAGTGATACGTAGGATGATTATGATGATGTAATTTTGAAGGAGTATGCAACATGATGGCTCCACAAATTCAACACCTTTGTTTTTTCTTGGGGGCTTTTCCTTGGGAAAACAAGTGAGTTTGCCTGACATCATCTTACTTTTCATTACAATTAACGAGGCATTTCTGTATTCAGCTGGAACATCTCTGTGGCATGGCACCTACGTCTTGAGATCATCCAAATGTTCTGGATGTGATTTGAACTTCCATGTATTATTAGTAATACACACCATGCCAAATGGTAGGTTTCAAACATAGGAGAGGTATTTGTATAACCTTATTGTCACACCTTGAACCTTGGGCAACACCGGCTTGCCGCACATGCCACAGATATCCACACCATGTCCAATTCACGTGTTGTTTCCGCCTGTTCGAACACTCAAGACGGCATCACCAAGTCACACTGCGAAACAGTTGTTTGAATCTTGAATTTCTAGCGTTCTTGCTCCGTTCGTAGCGATGCCAGGAGCCCCTAGTAGTGTTCTTGTTCCTAGTTGAATTTCAATGTTTTCTTTACATTCTCGGTAAAGTTCATACTCAACGGATCTACTAGGGTGGAGGCCATCAAAACGGAGTTTCTGTGTGAAGCCTGAGGCTTTGGCCCAAAACTGATAGCAATCCTCGAAATAGGTGGAGGCCATTGCTAGTAGGTTGGAGGCCATTGCTATTAGAAACATAGAAACTAGACGACGAGTGGCCCGAAAGCATTTTTCATCACGTAGGAAGTCAGAGTGCGAGTTATCTGTTAAGTGTGTTATAAGTGTTCAGTGTGAAGTGTTAAGTCGAGTGTGTTGAGGCAGTGTGTGGGTCTCTGTGTGTGTGTATCTATGTCTGTGTGTGTATGTGTCTCTCTCTGTATGTCTTTCTGAAGCGCAGGAACACCTGTCTTCTGCAAGTTCTTCACCTCTCGAAAGTCGCCTCCGCGTAGTAAAGTTGTACTACAAAGTCGCCAGTTCTCATCTTCCAGCTCCACAGATTGCTCCGTGTACTAAAGTTCTACTACCAAGTCGCCAGTGCTCATCTTCCAGCTCCCCAGCTACTCCGCGTACTCAAGTTGTACTACCAAGTCGCCAGTTCTCATCTTCCAGCTCCCCGGATACTCCGCGTACTAAAGTTGTACTACCAAGTCGCCAGTTCTCATCTTCCAGCTCCCCAGCTACTCCGCGTACTACAGTTGTACTACAAAGTCGCCAGTGCTCATCTTCCAGCTCCCGAGATACTCCGCGTACTCAAGTTGTACTACCAAGTCGCCAGTTCTCATCTTCCCACTCCCCAGCTACTCCGCGTACTAAAGTTGTACTAC